TTATTTTATTTTAAATTTACAAAATATCTTAATGGAACATGATCTTTACTTACTGTAATATCCTAATGATTTTTGGCATAAAAGAAAAATCGATAATTTTGATCCATACAATGCATTGTTGGCTATTGCTACAAAAATACCCGTGCTGCTCATGACTGGTTTTGTGGTCCAGGGTAACATATAATATTATACATTACATAATATATATTATTTAAAATATATAATAATAATAATATACAGTATATGGCTGGTGGTGTGTGTGTGTATATAAAACACATAAAACTGCTTTTATTTAAAAAATAAAGTAACAAATAATAATAAATATAAATATCTATTAATATATATATATATATATATACAGTATATATATATGACTGAATTGATCTTTCTCCAATTAAACTAGACTGTAAGTCAGATCAGGTAGAAATATTTCCAGTGTATCAGAGCAACAATCCATTTGTATTTCATGGGGTGATTTTTTGGAGACTGGGTCCATCATTGAGGGCAAAAGCTTGCAATCTATTCCTCCATTCTGTCTGTTGTTGTTCTCTTACAGCTCAGAGTTACTTGTGCTTTCTGTCTTGTTACCATTTAAATCTGACAGACTTTTTTCTTCAGTAAAAAGCTCAAACAGCCCGCAGTCAGAAACACATGACTGTCCCACCAGAGTATCGAATTTGAGGCCTAGATAAGACTCGCTGGCCCATATTTCTCTCTCCCTTTCTTTTTTCCCACCCCCTTCCTCTCTATTTGTCAATGCAGATCAGCATAATGCATTTCCAGAGTCAAAGCATACAAGTCCTGTTTAACGCTGATATAAAGCACAGGCCCAATCCATCAGTATGACATAATAATCTAATGCCACGGGCCAGAAGCATCATGACCATTCAAACTGAGTGGGGCACAAAGAACCAAACGTCAAAGCTGCCCTTTACCATACAATGTAAATGCAAAATAAGCTGACTTTTTTCTTATTGAATGCAAATAAATAACAATTTTATATATACCGTATATATACAGTGCATAGTTGTAAATAACTAATAAGCTAAATTGCCTTACAGTGGGGTCAATCCGATTAAACCAGCATCACTAAAGGCACAGCTTTTAAGGCACAGATGGGCCAAATGTACTGTATTCAATAAGGCTTATGTTACTTCCTTTCCTATATCCCCTATATGAACAGTAGAAAACTCTAATGGAATCAAATGCTGGGCAATGTTTTGTGTTCTTTCGGCACACAGCCAGTGAAGGGGAGATGATGAATTAACATTGCTGAAATTCAAATCCAATAAGACTAGTTTTGCAGTGTGTTTTAAAGCAGTTCAGCCTGCGGCAAAATTTTCCTTACACCCTGTTTATTGCCAAACATACAATTCTCTATATTCAGCTGCCAAGTGTGTAGTCTCTGATTTACTTATTTCAACACAACGGAGGGATACATTTCAAGAGATGACTGCATCTATATCAGTTGTACAGGACGGATGGAGGGAAAGCTATAGTCTATTTCCTGCAATAGATACCCAAAGACTGCTCTGTGGCTATGGGGAATTATTGAGGTGTGGAAAGAGGACGATATTAGAGAGTTTGTATGTGTGTAATACAGACGACAAGCTGTTCAAAAGCAGGTCATCCTGCACTCAGGCATTTTACACAATTTTGGTATTTTTTTGATTCCTTAGTTGCACACAAAGTACAAAGTGTCTTTGCTTCAGTTGCTCTCTCCTTCCTTATGTTCTCTATTCAAATAAATTAAACCAAAGTCGAGTGCTGCATCCCAGTTCACCTACTTATACTTAAGCCATTAAAGAAAGTGTAATATACCACTCTGTTGCATAGTTACATGGCCTGTCAATCAACTTATCACAGTTAATATCCTCTTATACACAATCCACATTTCAGTTCATTTAATTTACAGTCAACTATTCTTACCGGATAGAAAATAGCAGCATGTTGATCTGCCAGTTGGGGGGCCAACACGCAAAGAACTTTCCTCATGTTTTTGCAAAATAATGCATTTGAAAGTTAATGGCCCAGCATACACTACCAGTGAAAACTTTTTTGAATAGTAAGATTTTTAATGTTTTTTAAAGAAGTCTCTTCTGCTCACCAAGCCTGCATTTATTTGATCCAAAATACAGAAAAAACAGTAAAATTCTGAAATATTTTTACTATTTAAAATACCTGCTTCAGCCCAATATATTTTAAAATGTAATTTATTCCTGTGATTTCAAAGCTGAAGTTTTAGCATCATTACTCCAGTCACATGATCTTTCTTTGTGTATCTTTATAAAAGTTCACAATATTTTTGCAGATGAAATATAACATGGATCCCATTAAATAATTATTTTTCATCAAGTTAGATACTATTAATCACTCAATTCACTTCACCTAAAACTCTCTCTCAATCATTGGTCTTACACATCTGCCCTGTTTGATGTTTTTCTGCTTGTGTTTGTAGTTCTGAACCGAATAGTCCAATTTTCCAAAGTACAGTGGGTTGTGTGCAATATTAGCCATTAGAGCTATCTGCACTTCGAATCTGAAGCTATCTGCACTTCGCCAAAAACAGTAAACCATCTGGGTATTTCAGGGATATTCATTTCAACATTATTTGGGATACACTAATTCTAATTTCGAATATTATTTAGGAGAACAATAATCTTGAGAAAGCCTGGAATAATGCCTATAACCACAGTGAAAGATAACTTTAGATTTTGCATTACTCATTTATTTTTTATTAACATTATCATTATCTAACATTATCAGATCCAGAACAATATACAGTATGTGTGCCTCATGTAATATGTACAATACTGTGCAAAAGTGTAGCCACTTATGAAATAATGCCATTATTTTTTTTTTCTATTAAGTTGCTATGAACTAATTAAATCAATATTTGGTGTGAGACCCTTTGCCTTTCACTGGTTTTACACAAGGAAGTTGCAAAAGGAACATTTGGTACACTAAAAATTCAGGTTTTCTACTAAGGTTTTCTACTGACTTAGTGACACTTATCAGAAGAAAATAAATATTTTTCGTGAAACTTCTACACTTGCACAGCATTGTATGTCAGTGACACTGCAGAAAACAGTGACTGCAGTACCGTTCATTCTATCCAACAAACCTGCTGTCAGACTACGTTTGCAAAATTTAAGACTTCATCGTAGAAACCAGTTGTTACTCTGACAACTAACTGAATTCTGTGCAAACAACCATATTTAGCTCTCTAAAACAAGATTGACAAGCGTTTTCTGCTGCTGTGTGAAAGCAGCCTCTCTGTGTTCCAGCCCTCACCCTTTCTTTGTCTGTCTCCATCTAGTTTAACAGTCTGGGGAAACTTTACAGAGATCAGGGGTTCAAATTCACCCCTAAAGCTTTTAAACTCCCACAGATTTTCATCATTACTGGCCGATCTCCTCTCCACAAGCAAATACCTCCAATCACACCCTCCTTTCTGCACAGATAATGCCCATAAATGAAAGCAATTCATACGTCTCAGTGCAGTATGAGATTGAGTGGGTGTTTGAGGTTGATCAATAGGGTCTGCTCCACCCCTAGCACTCACTCAGTTGTGTACTGTATATACAGGCTAACTAAACCCTGCAATCATTACATCTCCCTCCTAAACTTCAGCTCTTTGTATTCTCTTAGTACTGTGTCCAAGCAGCACCAATTTAAAACAGTTCCAGCTCATGGAGGGAAAATGTCTCTTTAATGTAGACTAAACAAGTTTGTTTCTTCAACTAGAAGTACTTTATTGGTGGATTTTAAATAAAAATAAGAAATGTAAGTAACTATGATAATTACACAAAATACACAGTATTAAATAATCAAACTAAAAATGCTTCTTTTTGCAATTTTTACACAAATTACAACTGTCTCTCTGTGGTATCCTTTCCATCACATAATAATAATAAAAAAGATAAAATTGTAGTTTACTTTACAACTATCTCAGTTAAGTGCTTGCTTCAGGTGAAATATGAGACAATAATGAAAAAACATAGTAAAAATCACTTCTGAATCGATCTGGTATTGTCAAATTATGCAAGAAGTGTAAAAATATAATTTAATTGGACATATTTAGGGTATATTTATATCTAGCCATGAAATTAGATGCAAGTGTTTTCACTGTATGACACTGATGGGGGTCAATTAAATACACAAGTGTTTTTAAAAGTTAAAGAGATTATGTTAAGAAATACCATGGCCAGTAGTTAAAGAAACCTCCATCTCTAGGGTTGCATGACGGATACTTTAGCAATAAATGCCGAATGGAAGTCTCTGGTTGTGCTATTAATGCTTGCAATCTGCACCGACAAGCCTAATCTGCTACACTGACATAAAACACAGATGGTGAGGGATAGATGGGAGTATCCATCATCATTCCACAGCTATAACGCTCTAAACGACATCAGAACACCAGGCTCATTTCAGAGAGATCTGAACTGAAAGACGGGTTCAACTGATCAACTAAAGTGCATGATAGATTTTTGGCCAAGGTTAAATATACAAGGCCTGTGTGCTTCATACAGCTATAAAGTTAATTAAGAAAAAAATGTATTACATGTTTATGACCTAATTAGCAAAAGATGAGTCATTAGTCAATCAAGCTTTGGCACTGGTTGCACACACACTGTAGCTCAGCACTAAATAAACTAAAACATTTACTTGAGTGCTGAGTGAAAAGGGGCTGACACACTAAAACTGTACAAAATAAGTCAAAACAATGGGTCAAAATAACGTCTTAGTGCCCCAAAAACATCAATATGCACCAATGTGCTGCATAAAATGTAATTCCCCATTTTTACATAGGCAATGAAGGTGATCTACTAAAGAACAGCTGCACAGAAAGTCATTTTTCTGTTTCCTATGGCCAGTAATCTATCTGAGATGGCTTCAGGCACAGTTGCTGAGCCCATACAGCTTTTCTAACTTTGAATACATCCCAATCTGATTGAGTATGTAAGCCTGGCTCATAGAACAGTGCATTAGCTTCTTACCCCAGAGGCTTTTCCAGACGACTGCCTGGTGAACCCACTATCTCACCCAGAGTGCAGAAGGTCTGACCCAGGAAGTCCTACAGAAGGGTGGCCCGAACAAAAGAAGGCCCACAGAAGGCGGGATAGGAACATAGGAAGTAAAAAGAGAGAGTAGAATGAGTCAGGGTGGTTCTGGGTGTAAATGAGTTGTACAGGTAAAGAGAAAAGTCTAGGAATGCAAGGCAGAGACGTACGTTGAAATCGGAGGGCTTCCAGTAGGGAGGTGAGGCCGCAAATATAACAATAACAACAGAGCATATCATGTAACCAAAAAGACAAAAAAATAAATAAAATACAAATGAATTGAAGATGTCAGGCCGAAGAGGATAGAAGAGAAAAAACGAGAGTTAGAGAATAGTGAGAAAGGATCTTGGAGAAGAGAGAAAGGGAAAAACACCCACGATGATCACTGATTACAAAAGAAAGCGAGAAAACCAAATCATAAATCTGAATTTCACTGAAAAGTGAAAATGAACAGATACACACACACAAAACATTCGGGTGGTTCTATACAAAATCATAATTCATAATTTGCCCCTACTGAGACAGTTGTTTATTTTCACACTGTCTGCGTATAGTTTTGGTACCTGTTTAATTGAATATAATTATGCAAATCAAGTAATGATGCAACCTATTATTTTATAACACTTATATAACTTTTATATACTGTAAGAACAAGAAGAAGAATTTCTGTATAAAATTATTTCATTTATATATTTGATATATTTCATTAATTGCACCAAGCAAATGTCTAATTTGATGAAGTCTAATTTGCATACAAAGAAAGACAATGACTGTTTTTAATCTGAAAAATGTGGTGCAAGTGTTTAGTGAAAACTCTATATTTTTAGCTTGCCTTTCATCAGTTTAATAGGAAACAAATTGTATGTATTTCCCAGGATATTCAAGCACACTGCAGGATACATTCAGAACCATCAGAAGTCAAAGAGAGAGTTTAACTTCACTTCTTCAGTTTTGCACAGCTTTGATAATGATACAAAATGTCATTTTTCAGTCATTTCAGATTGCATAAAACCAACCGAAGAATGAAGAGCATGCATGTCAAAATGTGAGTGCAATTGCCAATGAACACAAAGAACTTTCATATACATCCAAGCAAACACACATGCACATATATACACAAAAATCAAATACAAAGTGCTTCTATACACTCACGTGTTTGGCCAGATCAGGACTTTTGGAGTCAATGTCATATCTGAAATCCAACAAAACAGCGTCAGTTGGTATTGTTATATGATGGCATGTCCCATTTTCGCTTGGATAACAGCTCAATTTGCTCAACCATCCTCACATTATTTGATCTGGAATTCCTATGAGCTAAATCATCCATAAAGCTAATATTTTGATTTCTTGTAGAGAACATTTCTTTAAGTCAGCATGAAATGAAAATTCTGCCTATTCACATCTATTTTCTAAATCCATGTCATAGATATTGAGAAAAATTTATCTGTGCATGTTTCATTTTTTTTTTTTAAATGACCTCGTAATATTTAATCAAAATGTCTAAATGTCATAATGAAAATATGTTACTCTCGGATGTACAGCACAATAACAGAATAAAAGATCTGTCACTCCTTCAGATGCATAGTGACCTTAACATTAAAAACTTGGATTTCCATCTAGCTGTTGCCATAATTCTGTCCAAATAATACAAGATTTTTTTTTATTTAATTTCGCTAGTGAAAAAATGATACTTTTCCCTTTAAATCAGATCCCCCTTAGTGTGCATTTAAATTCTTGATGCTGTTAAATTTTGAGTGGAAGTGCTGCTCTGGGGCACAGCTGGTTGGCTCTGTGAATATTTGCATTGGTATAAGAAGGAATTCGCATAATTGTGGAAGGTTTCTCGCTGACAGCATTCTGAACTCTCCAATTAAGTCCAGCCTGCAGTGCAGCAGGTCTTTTTCAACTCAGCAGAGCCCATTTAAGGTGGTGAATGAGAGCGAGATGGACAGTCAGGCACGGGAAGGGAAGAACACATTGTAAATCATCCCGGATCCCGCGTCACACATTTGCGTTTGAACAGCTGCGTGAAGATTGAGGATAAAACTCATCTGAAATATTTATCACCCTTTCACTGATCCAGCCCCTTACCCATGACAGTCAAGAGAGAGGCAGCATCAATAATTACCAAGGAGGACGCACTGGGAGAGAGGGAGACAAACAGAGCGAGAGCAGAAAGACCAGAGTGGGACAGCTCATCGGAGAGCGAGGTAGATTCCTGTGTGTCAGCATCAAAGGGAATAACTCACATGTCAAAGCGCAGATTCTGCTTCTCCTCGAAGAAATAGTCCAGGATGTACTTTCTCACAAAGTCTGGGTTCAGGGTGTTGTCGATGACTTCAGTTCTCCCAAACTACACAAAAAGAGAGAGAACAACTGCATGGGAATGAAAAAGTTGACACTGTGCAGCCACAGACAAATCTACATCTCTGTTCAGTCCATTAACTGCCCTGTTCCTGTGACTCTGCAGCCTTAGGAAAAACTAGGACAGCAAGAGGTGATTTTTTTGAAAGGTGAAGTATCTCTTCTACTTATAAACAACAGAAACCCCTGCTCAGAATCAGTAATGTGTACATATGTGTGGCACAAAGGTGTGTGTGAGTGTTTGCATGCAAATGAAGTAATAAATATTCAAGAATATTCATGAGTTTTGAGCTCATGCTTGGGATGCCACTTTAATGACAGTCTATTCATCTACCACAACACATGCAGTACTGTAAACAACTGTGATTTCTATGTTAATGTACAAATAACACTTTGGCTCCAGCTCTCTATGCTATATCTGAATTACTGTGCAACCATAAACATTGACATTTCAATACATTCCTTGTGTAACATCCTCTGAAAATGCAAAAGGCCTTCGATCCATTAATGATAAAAGCTCCTCTTCTACTGTCTCTGTAAGGATGTCTGCCTTGCTGGTTTTATGTAAGAAATGTAAATCAGAGTTAGGAATTACAGAGGGTGGGTGAACATTTTAGAATATTCTGCCAATGGAAAGGAAAATGAAGAAGGAAAAGAAAACAAGAAGAAAGAAAAGAAGGAATGCAGGAAGGAAGTGAGAGTAATGTGTTTATGGAGAAG